GGACACTTCCCGATTGCCAGTTCGCCTCCTTCTCTGCGTGTATTTGTCGATTTCTTTCAATATTGCTCGTTAACTATTACCTCCGAGTATTTACAGAATTTTCTGAATTTCAGTACCTTCCTCGTCCAGAAACTTTCGCTGAACCGGTGCCCATCACAAATCAATCGGTAAGTTCACCCATCGTTCTCACTTACTATCCAATGCCATGTGATATTGATATGAAGGAGTTTCCACTGGGTGGAAAGTTCGAGGCATATGCTTCTCGCTCCGGTTAACCCGTCTCTCCACACTGCGAAGTTGCTGACTTAGTCGTAAGCCTGTCTGGCGTTACCAGAGCACCAAGTTGCACGGAAGCTAATGGTGTCCAGAAACCAAGATTAAGATTTCGCCACGCTGATCATGGGTTATGCCACATATTCCGTCTCCATTCAGAATGTGAAACTTTTGGCTACACTGTATAGATCGCTCCTGAAGAGAAAATTGAGTCGTAGACTTCGTAAGTGGGAAAGAAGTCGGAATGGAAGCAAAGCTGACTTGCTTGAATGTTTACGAAGTTTCGAAATGCACTGGGCTATGAGCCCAAAAACTTTTGATAAATTCAACAAGCTGTGTCTTGATATCTCTGTCTATCTTAAGAAGATGATCCACACCCTTCTAATCCATTCTTATTTCAGTACGCGATCATGAACAAGATGGCAGCTCGTCGAGTGAGTCTCAAAAGTTTGTCGGAGTTAGGAGTTGCAAAACTGAAATTTCATCGTTTTCCAGAAAATTCGTCTTCAAAAAACAGAAGCTCGTGGTCGGATGTTCGTCACCACTGTTTCATTTCCCGTGATTGTCAATCGAACATTTATGGGAGTCGCTGCCGTTAACACTCCACTCACTGAGCTTAATCAGCAAGCGCATCCTAGCAATGTAAGCAGCTTTCCATATGAACTACATATTAAGGTGGTAATCGTATACCATTTGACCCTGACTATGAACATACAGAGAAGGTCCAGGGTATAGGCTTCAAAGACACATTTTGCGAAGACCGAAAGATGGGAGGAGACCCACAGCAGTTGTGTTTATTTCATAGGCGCGCTTCTTCGCAGTATAAGGCGGGGCGCACCAATGGGAAAGCACAATAAGGTTCACCACCCGACATCTTATGGAACAGCACAATAAGGTTCTACCACCCGTGCTGGGAGGGGGACTCTTTCGATAACTTGGGCAATAGTCTGGTTCGGCCTTTTTTCCTGACAGCAGTGTAAATCATGATGGGTTACGCTAGACATGTAACTTTTCATTCTGTCAAAATTAGAAGTGGACATTACACCATGTACGCAAGCTGTAATATTTTGATATAGAGAAGCTATTATGATTAGCGAGTGCCGTGGTAGATGTAACGCTCTGAGGCTCAGTGCGAAAGAATCAAAGAATGCCATGAGAAGGAGCAGATGGCTATCGCGAGCACGCTGACGCCAAAGTCTGCTGTCCAACATAGAAGGTCCACTGGAATGGCGCTGCGGGACCTTCTGATCAGCTAATCTGGACAATGAAGGTCCCGGTAGAGATTTTAAACATGAGGGCGTTATCAGTCCCGCAACGCGTGGTGCACACTACTGTCGCTGCCTGATGCTAACGAGTCAAGTGGAATATTTCAATGAGCAACTCATCCTTTAATTTCTTATTATATACACATATTAACATGGTTGATATACAGGGCACAGAACGGGACGGCTTAAGCGTAGCAGATTCCTCATCCCTCGATTTGCAAGTCTTTTTTTCAGATCGGCGGGCGCAGCTACTTCTTCATGCTCGATCAGAATGGCTTCATTATGTTCCATCCACAACTTCGACCAATCGTTAGTTCATATATAACTTTAACGTTTCTTTGGATATCTATTTTACTCTAATCTATTCGGAATCATCATGTATTGATCATAAAAGTGTGGCCCCAAGGACAAATATACACATCACCTCCGAATCTTTTCCATGTGTGAAGTGGATGGGTTTCACAACAGTAGAGTGCCACTTTCTGCGGTCAGATGTGCACGAGAATGGAGCAGGAGGGTAGTCATGTCCAAGTGCCGCTCCTAAGCTCCACCCGTGCTATCCTCAAGATGCAGTATTTGCCCGCAGCGAACACGTAGTTGGATGTAGCGAGCAACCAAAATTCAGAGGGCGCAGACAAGTCGCGCGTCCAGGTATTGTTCGGCATAGGGCTGGCCGTGCGGCAGCGTGCACAGCCTTCGAAGACAGCATGCCTCCTCCTCCAGTTCCAGTCCCTCGAGCGGAGAAAGTGGCACGTTACTGTTACCCTTCACCTATTCACCTCGCACATGGAGAGGGTTGTCCTCTGTTCTCCCATATGGTTTTGTACCTCCATCTGACACTGAAATGCAGCGCTTATGCTATACGGTCACTCAGTTGGATCTGTGAAGACGATCTCAGAAATCTCACTTAGTAACACAAAGTTAAATGCATTACGGTAACTACCGCTTCAGAAAAGGTAAAAAATGAAAGGAGTAATTCATAAGTTTCTTGAGCTCCAAAGGTTCCCAGCAATTAAAGGATTCCAGTGGCGACAAGCAGAACTAGTGCGATGTGCTGAAGTGCTCTGTTCTGTGATTTTTTCCCACTAAAGAAAAATCGTTGAAGGATCCCACCACGAAGTCACACAAGCAGAACTACAACAATATGGATCTACTGGAGCTCGAAGTGCCGCAGTCACAACAGGTTCATTTATTCAGTGATAACAACGTTTTGTTCCGAGAATGTTCTACCTCGATTTCACTTTCCTTCCATCCTTCCTGCTATTCCTACCATGATGTCGACAGCTTGCTCGAGACCATCGGCAAGCTTCCTCACTTCACGTACAACCTCTACCTCACTGTTTTCGTCTGTTTATTTATAGATGTTTCAATGTATTGTTGAGTATGAGACGAGGCAATGCTTAGATTCGACTGTCACAAGACAAGGAGGATGTGTCGGACCTCTTCTGCGACCAGGGCACGACATTTGCCGAATGCGTCGAGCAGATCCGAAACTTTGT